GTATATTGATGACGTCACAGGCGTTTTGGGGAACCGCTCACATGACCCTTTACCTTTAGAGAACAGGGGATGAATTCTAAGACAAAAAATATAACCTCCAATCTCTGATTTTGTATAGCTTGCAAAAATATACCATTCATATACTTGTAATGAGGCGACATTATTGCTGTTTCTCTGGTCTTTCGGAGTTAGAACTTCCTTAATGATCGCTTTTTTAATAAAGTTATAAAATATCTGCTGATGTTTCTGTTACACGTGGCCCTTTTATGGCTGGGCCAAAGGTTAAACCTGAACGGCGACCGGAGAACTAGACAGGATGGAGTGTAGGGAGTATGTTGAGCCGTTCACGAAGAACAGGTGAATAACCTCAAACTATTTTAGGGTCCAGGGAAACAAAAGCTCCACCCCTTTCGCCGCCCCTCCCAGCGAGGCCCTCCATATTGCCACCCATAAAGCAAAGATTGTAACGGCCGAACCTGTCGTGCGAGATCTCACAGAATCAGGGGCACCCAACAACTAAATGTTTCCAAATGCGTTTGAAGTGTCTTAATTGATTTCCCACATGCTTTAGAAACGTGTTTGGTTACTTTGGAACTGCCTCAGAAACTATTCGGATGTCTTGGAAAATCTTTGGTCGTTTCAAAGTTTAAGGTGGCTTCATCTCGTCCGACTGGTAGCTACCAGGATGCGTCTTGTAGAAGGTTAAAGGACACGGAGTAGCCCTACTTTCATAAGAAACTTCTTGGGGTCGTTTTGAGACCTACTTTAACAACAGTTGCTATATCTTAGTAATATAATGCGAAAAACACAATTTCCGAACGTTGTAAGTAAGTAGAAAAACTCCAAACATCTAGCTTAGATGAATGAAATGGTCATCCAGAAATCTTTGGCCTTTATAGACCTTTAAACATTTCTAGGCAATATTGGTTCCTAACAGTTATTTTACAGAGAAAGGTCATTTTTTCCATATATTTTTTGTGCAATACCACGTGATGTGGCTGTTATTTCAAATGTCGTGTGGCGAACAACTGAAGAGGTCAAATGGCAAAACTAGTTTTGTGAATCGCCTAAACAATTAAGTGTGTTGAAAGTAGACATAAAACTTTGGATCTCCCAAAAAGTGGCCCTGGGTTCTTACCAGAAGTGGTCGTTATAGTTTGTATTTACACTGCTGATTGTTTTTGAAAGGCAAAATGTATTATTGTATTTCAGTTATTAAGTAGTAATATCCTCGTTTAATACGAAGGTATGATGTCATGATGAAGTGTTGGAAAAGCGACCCATCCCACAGACCAAGTTTTGGACGCCTAAGCGCAGACCTGCGAATGATGATGAAAGAAGAAGAGCAGGTTAGCAGCAGTGTGGAAATAACTTGGGCCACTAGAAATTTCAATTGCCTTTTTATGCCCCCATGGTTCTCTACAGTGAAACTGTGGAATTTGGTTTAGCGAGAATTTTGAAAACTTGCTATCTGCTGCAACGTAATTTTTCTTTGCTTATAACTCCTTATCCTTCTTTTTTTCATTTCTCTTGTAGGAATACGTCAACCTGGAAGAATTATTGTATAAAAATGTCTTGCCGATAAATGTTTAGAGGCTACTTGCATACATGGCATGGTTGTCTCTTTATGGTTGTCTCTTTGTCTCCATAATGCATCAGTCAATTCCACCTGCGCCCAGCCCCCGGCGGACTGACCCCGGGCATTAGCATTTTTTTTGCCTTGGATGGCAAATTCCCGGGGGTGGGGACTCTTGAGCTGTCGAATCCCCCGGAGTGAGGACGAAAAAAAAGTGCAAATGCCCCGTCCTCCGTCAACACTGCAACATTTTTCATTGATAGCACAGTCAAATAGCGCCGTTTGAAGCATTTTAATGTGCCATTTTTTGGTTTAATTAACGTCTTCCTTTGTAATAGCGCGAGGATTCTAATTAAGACTTCACGGCGCGACGACATGCACCAGTTTATGGTTGTAGTATTGGTATAAAATTATTGACATTAAAATTAATAGAGCGCTGTAAAGTTATATGTTATGTATAGTTTTATAAATATGAAAGGATGTTCTTCCAATAATATCAACAGAAATTTGATTCAATAACCAAAAAACGTTGATTCGCATCGATAGCTCCAATTTCGCTACGTAATTCTGGCTTATAAGCAATGAAGAAATGCATACATACATGAAAAATCGAGAACATGCCGTTACACCCCTCTACAATTTATTCCTGTCCATGACAAATGAGCCAATCTGCTTTTCTTCCAGTAAAACCTTCCTTGTGGTTATATTCTGATAGGAAACCGCGTGCGTGTCAAAAGCTTGGGATTGGCCCGGTGGAATTGACTGATGCATAAACGTGTAGATATCTGGTCTGAAAAAAGATACCAAATTTTATACAATTAACAGAAGTATAATATATTCATGGAGCCTTTCTAATGACTTATAATATACTTCGTTGTGTATCACTATCAAGAAGTCTTAACTGTATTGTCAAATCGTCATTTGTAGACTTTAATTAGAAAAAGTTTAGATAGCGAGAACCTAAGCTCAATTACCAGCTGCTGTTCGGAAAATGAGCCCGCGCACCTCACTCAAACAGATGGCTGGACACGTGGATTTGCTATTGTCGACTAATCAGATGGTTGCCTGCACAAATCGAGCAGGCAGCCATAATATATTTTTCCTGGAGCAGATTTCAAACGGTGCTGCGAAGGCGTTCTTTTATATATATGAGTTTTGGAGCGTGTGAAGCTTAAAAAACTGAAATATTTACAACGAAAGGAGTTAGAGAAACTGGTAGATGGTGAGGATGTTTTAGTAATTCAAACAACCGGAACTTTATTGTTAATAATTAATTACATAACTATGTTTAAATTTCTTAAGACAAGGTCCAGAAAAAATTGCTTACAGCATTTTTTTAAAATAAGCTTCGTTTATTGACTGTGTTAGTACAGACAAAAAAAAAATACGATACAAAAAACAAGGTTAAGTTGTATCCAACGCAAGAAAAAAGTACACAGCGCCTTTTTTTGTTTACTGCAATAACAAGTCCCGTGAATGTTTATTGTACATACAAAAAGACTGCATTTTTTAGAAAGAAAGAACAATAAAGGAGGAGGCTTAATTTTTTTAAAAAAAGTAGACAGCGGAATTTTTTGCTTACAGCATCATTAGAGCCCATATGAACGTTTACCATACGTGCAAATGGTTTGCTATTCTCACTAGGGAAAATACGCACAAAAGCCTAATTTAGCATCAATGCATTTCCTAAAATTCTCAGCGTGGCCAGGGGAATATGTACAGGGGATACCCACAGACCTTGTCCCTCAGTTGTAAGAGCAGCTTATTTGATTATTCAGCCAGTTCTAGTAAGGTTAAGGTCTCGGCACCCTCAATAGCAGTTCTCGCCCCACCCTCCTCCCTACAGCGATGGGGCATACCTCGTTTCCTCTCCTGGTTCACCGACTCGCAAAGCCTCGGGCCGATTCTCTTGTATCTTATGCATTTAGACTCATTTGGATTTGTGTGGTGGTGTTCCAGTTGAGAATATATTACTATCTTTTTACCCAAAGTTTTCGAAATGAAAGTCACCCAATATTTTGATGTGTATCTTTCCATGAAGTTTTCGCTTTTTTGCGTTGTTTAAATAGGCCTTTTGCATTAGATGATCACGTGATCAACTTTGTCAAAACACGAAGACAGTTCGCTTTTGAATTTCACGAAAGTTTGAAAATTTCGAAATTTACGAGGATTCCTATGGAAAACCATTCGGGCGTGACCAGGTGGCAAAAGTTCTCATACAAATCCTTCTAATTTTCAGTGGCCGTTGCAATAGCTACTTTGAGATATACGGCTGAAAATTTACAGGTTACCTAATTTGAGCTCTTGCTAACAAATTTTCTTTAAAAGCGAACTATTTTCGTGTTTACCGAATCACTGAATATGAAGAATTTCGAAATTTCAGTTTTATAATAATAATAATAATAATCAACTTTATTTAACGAGGGCAACACGGGACAGTACTTCAACTGAATAACTAGTGGCCCTCAAACTAAAATTATAAAACAAAAATTAAGTGACAAAATACATATCGTTATCGTTAGTGAGAAACGTGCTCTTAATCTTGTGCCCAGCCGGAATGTTATGTTGGTAACCAAGGCGCTGTCCGTTTTGTTTTGAATGGCATGGAGTCCCGCGTTCTCATTTCAGTGTCTTGATTGTTGCCGTAGTGAATAACGCGCGCGCTAATCTTTGTACCGCGGCCCCCAAAATACAATTAAGTTCCGGTTGGCAGTACGTGAATCTTAGAATCCAAATTCTGATAATCGTTACTTTGATGATCAAAGGATAAAGAAATTCCCAAAAAACTTGTCGGTCACTTAATCCACCTAAGGTCTGAAGCTTTGTCTTTACTGTTAGAAAATCTACCTAGCCACGTGGCCCTGGTTCTTAAAGTCTGTTATAAGAAAATAAATAACATTTTCTTTAAGTTAGAATATGCAGAGCATTTCATACATAAGTTCAGATGCGAGTGGTTTGTCTTTGAATAGCCAACGTGCGACATAAGTAGTATACTATGTTAAAAATTATCCTTGTTGGTGCCTTCCCCTGCATATATATTCTATTGTTTCCCTCCTCCTCCTCCTCATTTTTTTGTTTCTCCTCCTCCTCATTTCTATTGTTTTCCCTCGAAAAGGTCAAAGGGGCCAAAATCACACCTAAAAGGCAAAACTCAAATGTTAAGGCCTGATTTTGACCTCTGGCCTTTTCGAGGAAAACAATAGAAATGAGGAGGAGGGGAAGGAGGAGGAGGAGGAGGAGGAGGAGGAGGAGGAGGAAAAAACAATTAAAAAAAAATGAGGAGGAGGGAAACAATAGAAATGAGGCGGTGGTGGTGGTGGTGGTGGAGGGAAAACAATAGAAATGTGGTGGTGGTGTAGGGCAAAACAATAGAAATGTGGTGGCGGTGGTGGTGGTCGTGGAGGGAAAACAATAGAAATTGTGG